AAGAATGTTTCGTTCTCCTCTTCAACCGATGTGGGATCTCATAATCCACCCCCCTTGGGAGCCAGCATCCTCGCTGGCTCACCGTTCGATGTTTGGATCTAATACCATTTGTAACAGCCCAAGCTCACCGCAAGCAGATATTGTTCGTTTTGGCCCATTACGTATCGTTATCAACCTTACAGTTTTAAAACGCGTCTATTAGGGAGAGATTTTCACTCCCTATAAAGAATGTTTCGTTCTCTTTTTCAACCGATGTGGGATCGAATAAGTCATTCTGAAATGGGATATTTCAGTCAAGAATTTATGCATTCATATGCAGAGACAAGCACAATAACTTACATTATTTGGATCGAAGCAAACAATCCCAAGTCGTCACCCAGTTCACCTCCCAAATTAGCAGCATTAACAATTCTATATCATAAAGTTGTCAGTTAATTGTATTTTGAGAAACACGCATTAAAATATTCCAGAAAGGATACTAACATACATTTTAATGATGCTTGAATCATTACATACAACACCTTGCCATGCGTCACCGCAAGGATCTTGCCCAATGCCCCATCCAGGAAGACTGGGGAGTCCCAGTGCAGTATGTAAGCTACTAATAGCAGCAACTATCCACAAGAAATAACACATATAATCAGCGATAGTGTAACAGCTCAAGCCCACCACAAACAAAAGTGTAACAACTCAAGCCCACCACAAACAGATATTGTCCACTTCAGCTCGTTACATATCGCCGTCAGCCTCACGATTTTAAAACGCGTCTACTTGAGAGAGGTTTCCACACACTTAGAAGGAATGCTTTGTTCCCCTTTCCGACCGACATGGGATCTCACAATCCACCCCATCGGGGTTCAGTATCCTCGCTGACACACCGCTTAGTGTCTGGTTCTGATACTATTGTGAGATCCCACATCGGTTGGAGGGGGAACGAATCATTCCTTATAACGGTGTGGAAACTTCTCCCTAGTAGACGAGTTATAAAACCATGAAACTAATGTTGATAGTAACCGGTCAAAGCGGACAATATATCTCAGCAGTGGGCTTCGAAAACAAGGTAGGTACAAAAACACAACCCAACAAGAGGAGCCAAGCCAAGACTAACTTCACAAAAAAGGATCAAGTGACTAAATTATATGATAAAACTAGAAAGTTAAAGTTAAAATGAAGCCTTACCATCCCCAGGATTCGTAATTCCGACAAGAACATGAGCTGAACAGATAACGAATCCGACTAAAACTTGCACGCAGATCCTCAAATTGCCATTCCTCGAGGATCTCTTCCAACCCATTGATGCAAAACCCACCTCTGTCTTCTTATTGAAAAAGCCCAACCCCTGCGAACATCCTCCAACCTGAAATCACCATAGAACAAATCATAAACTGAATACCCAGAAAACCCAAAGATTAAACTCAGTCTAAGCTCAACATTCCATAGAACAAAGATTAAACTCAATACCCAGAAAACCCAAGTCAATAATTGAACACACAGCAGAGTGGCGCCGACCAAACCCAAACGCTCAAAGTCGATAACTACTACAAATCTGAATCCATCAAGAAAATGGTTTCCAGAAATAGAAATACGAAGTTGAAGTGAAGTTGGAGGAGCATGAAACTTAGCAAAATGCAGAGCAAATTTGACGCTGGAAAGCGAACTTGCTAAGAAAAAGAAGAAAAAAAAGCTGGAAGCCGCTTTCTACAAGCTCGAGTGCTTAATTATATTAAACATTGAACACCCAAATGAAATGAAGTTGGGAAGAAACTTGGATTCAGTGCATCAAGCAAGAGAAGTAGAACACGGCAAACTTACATTTAACAAATCAAAAAAAGAAACGAAAACTTCGAATTCAAATCAATTCAATTCAATTTCAGCTCAAATCGGCGAGTACCCAATAAGCTAAGAATCTGGAAAATTAAGTAAAAAGAAGCTGGAAATGTAGAAAGCAGTACGGCAAAGGCCTGAAATTCTTTTCAACTTTGCTGCTTTTTCTCTCTCGTTCTCAATGTTCTATTTCTCTCTCTACAACTTTTTAATAATAGAAATTATAAAAAATTTCGGTGTGTGAATTTATTGAAGGGATTTGTAGTGCTACGGTTTTTTAGATGAAGCATGCAGAACGTGTACCACGCGCTCTAAAGCGCGTGAGATATCCCCTACTTGCCCGAGAAGGCATGACGTTCCCCATTCCACTTTCCTTTTTTATCTCAATTTTCTAAATAATATAATGTCGACTTCTTTATATTATTATTTATTTCATTTTAAAAAGTTATTCCAGAAAGATATATATTGAATATAAAATCACAAAATTTTATATTTAAATATTAAAAATAGCGGAATGTCAATAATATGAGCATGGTTCAACTAATTTACCGACCTATTATGAATCATAGGGTTGAAGGTTTGTATAAGAGTCGGGAAGTGAATTGCACGCGCATAAGATGGGCGCGTGAGGAAGCTTTAACCGTCACAAAGGAACTACGCCGGAAGGTGGAGTATACAATGGGCCATCACGTGGTCGGTCGAGTGTGACATATGGGCTCGCTGTCAGAACCCTACGGCTCACCACCCCCTCACAAAAACGTCAAAATTTTTACCTCATTTTTCCAATTAAATAATATTTTCAAATAGCAGCCAATTAGAATTCAGAACAACAATAATTCTGTAATTAATTTAATTTAAAAATTTTAATTTAGTTTCCCTAAGTTTATGATTTAAAAATTTTCAATTCGTACTATTTGACAATGACATGAATTAATCAAGTTTAAATAAATGGTAAAATTAAAATTATACCAAAGTTGAAAATAATAATATTAACAAAATTTTGGGGTCAAACATGGAATTTTTCCTAAGATGTCGGGGAGAAAACAAACATTCAATCAGTGCTCTTTAGAAAAAATAATTATAAAAAAACCCCAAAAAGTCTAAACAAATAATAAATAACCAAATTTGTTTAATTAATTAATCCGATTATTTGATTCCAATAATTGCCTTCCGGTAAGATGATTTTTGAAAATATTCCAATTTTCAGCAGTCACGTGACTTTCTTGCTTTTTTTTATTTTTAATTTTTAGAGAGAATAAAGATGGAAAATAGGAAGAACTTTCTAGTAATGGGCGAAGATTGGGGAGTTTTTGTAATTTAGTTATCCAGATGGGGCGAAAGTGGATTTGCTAATACTAAAAGGAGCTTCCGGATATAATTAATTAATCAAGAAAAAGAACTTTTATTTTTAAAAAAGGAATTGCAGAAATAGGCTCCGCATACTTTTTTCTTACTTTTTTATCTTTGCCCTATCCCTTCACTTTCTTTGTTACCGAATCTATAAAGTGAAATTACATAAAAGTCCCTGCTTTTTTTCTTTATATTTTACTCAAAATTTTATTATTGTAGGAATGAAAATCAATTATTTTTATGGGATAGGTGGCATATAATTGGACGTGAAGGGTTTTTTTTTTTTTAATTTATTTTATTATATATATATATATATATATATATATATATATTAAAATCAAATATATTAAGTTTTTTATTCAATTTTTTAAAAAAATTGTCAAAAAAAAAAAATTATAACGATTCTACTCATTGCTAGATATTGTTTTGTTCGGATTATCTCTTTCAGATTTTTCTTTAATATTTTAAAAGGCGTCTAATAAGAATAAGTTTTCACACCTTTATAAGAAATATTACGTTCCTTTCTTTTAATTTCATATCATTTTCATTGATCTCTTACGTGGAAATGTAGCTGAGATGATAGAGCGCTTGCTTAGTATGCGAAAGGTACGAGGATTGATACCCTGCATCTTTAATATTCACGAAATTTTTATAAAAATAATGAAGTATTAATTGCAAGCGGGTAAAGATTTAAGTATTAATTTTATATCAATCGATGTGGGATCTCACATAATCACATCGTTTAGAGATCTCTTCCTAATTGTCTAGTGATACTCCGCTCATTCTTTCTCTCAATTATTTCACCTCTCTAGCGTTATAAGGCAGAAATTATTAGATTAAACTAAAGAAAATTGATCGATCCAAATAAAATTTAATTAATCACTTTTCACTCGATTAGATATTGGTTTGATTATACAAAATGAAAGATATTGATTTGATGATTGATTTAAACCAAACTCAAGAGAATGAGTCGTATCCTTATATTTAACATAATTACTTTACATATTCGAACAAAAAAAATAAAAGAAAAATATCGTATTATTAGGTTATCCAGTGTTGAAATTAAAAAATTGGTTTTTTTATGTTTTTTTTTTTTTTTTGTTAGTTTGTGTTGGTCAAGTAATCTTTTCACGTGGTTGGTCCTAAACAAGCTCGAGGCTGATCCAACATATCAACAAGCTCAAACACGCGGATCATCTAAAAGGGTCAATAAGTGTATGGACAAACCATTCAAAAAGATCAATAAGCCAAAAGAATCCTAACCCCTAAAAACATAATAAAAAAATTAAAAAATATATATATATATATATTGAAGGATGATTGAGTGAAGGAAAATATGGAAGTTTGGTAAGGAAAGCAACATGTTTATAATGAAGTTCTAACTTAGGATAAGGTTTGGTTTGATTAATATTATAAATAAAAGACATTTTTGGATAATCATAGAACCAATGTCCAGTCAGCAGCCCAAATTTCGGCGGCTGAGGTTCCCATTCAACATGTCTCAATTGGGACACCTCCATCAAAAGCATCTGAAAGTATGTCTTTTATAATTTTGTTTCGATATCACGATATAATATTTTTTAAAAATTATTATTTGGAGCTCAAAATCACTCTATTTGTACTCCTATCAAATCCAATTATAAATTTTGAAAAAATGAGGTGGATATTAATGTATTATAAATATAAAAAAAAACTTAAATTATATATATTTTTTGTAAATAAATGAAGGCACTAGAGGGTTTTTGGGCTTTTAAATTGGGCCAAAACATATCCATCATCAAGCCCAATAGAGCCGCATTCCTATGGGATTTGGCGGAAAAACGCCTTACCAACGAACGCCCCTCATCTGTCCTGAGCTTCTCTACGGGGTCGCCAATCTCACGATGAACAGCCATGGCAGAAGCTTAGCTCGACTCCTAGAATCCGTTGGCAGATCCTTCTCTTCTTCATCTTCCTCACCGCCGAACTTTGGCCGGTCTCCGTGAACGACTTGCCGCTGAGACACCTTCACTTTCCGACTTCATTGACCTGCAATCTTCTGAGTCGTATTCGGTGGAGGTTGGTACGAAGAAGAAGCCCCTTTCTAAGCCTAAATGGTTGAAGGAATCCGTGCCTGGTGGCGAAAAGTATGTTCAAATCAAGAAGAAGCTCCGCGAATTGAAGCTTCATACGGTTTGTGAGGAGGCTAGGTGCCCTAATTTGGGGGAATGCTGGTCTGGTGGAGAAACCGGCACTGCCACTGCTACGATTATGATACTTGGTGACACTTGTACCCGTGGTTGCAGGCTAGTGTTAATTCAATTTATTCATTCCATTTCGTTATGATTATTTAATTACCAATTTATTTTTGTCATATAAATGGCCGTGTTGATTACTTCGATATCATCTCAGTGCCTCAGAACTTCTATTCATTCCATCGCTGTTTTGGGATTGTTTGTAGTCCAGGCTCTGTAACGTCAAGACATCACGAACTCCGCCTCCACCAGACCCAAATGAGCCGAAAAATGTTGCTGAGGCAATCGCATCATGGGGCTTGGATTATGTGGTCATCACTAGTGTGGATCGCGACGATTTACCTGATCAAGGGAGTGGTCATTTTGCAGAGACTGTGCAGAAGCTTAAGGTGTTGAAGCCAAATATGCTGATCGAGGCATTGGGTACTAATTCCCTAGATTCCTTTTCGTATCACAATGTCACTTTCATTGTTGCACTTAAGGATCCTTGACGTGACGCTTGATTTTAACGAGCCTTCATTTATCTGGTTTCTATCAAACTAAGGAATTAAGTGAAAGCCACTTATTTTACATCATATGCTGATATGTTTCTTATTACTTTTGTCTGGTGTGATTCAATTTTTTTTCTTTGATGTTGCTTAACTAATTGATTTTGCAGTTCCTGATTTTCGAGGAGACCCCGGCTGTGTAGAAAATGTTGCAAAGTCAGGCCTCGACGTCTTTGCTCATAATATAGAGACAGTTGAAGAGCTTCAGGGAGCAGTTAGGGATCATCGTGCAAATTTTAAGCAATCATTAGATGTTCTAGTTATGGCCAAAGAGTTCGCCCCTTCTGGAACACTCGCGAAGACTTCCATTATGTTAGGCTGTGGGGAGACACCAGATCAAGTCGTGCAATCAATGGAGAAGGTGAGAGCAGCTGGAGTTGATGTGATGACGTTTGGTCAGTACATGAGAACTTCAAAGCGCCATATGCCTGTATCAGAATACATCACTCCTGAGGCTTTCGAGAAGTATCAAAATCTTGGCATGAAAATGGTACAGTCTCTTTCTTATTATTTGAACATTTTGGTTGTGTTCTGTCTTCTTTGTTCTGCAAGAGATTGTTTAATCAAGCCCTTAAACCCTTTTTAAATCCCGCTTTAAAACGTTTTTTTTCTTTCACCTAAACAATTTTAAGCCCTCAGATAATCAATCCAATCAGGCTCGTAATCTGGTACGCTGCGGATAATTTTCATTTGCATTTCTCATAAGTTCCTTCTCTAGGATTTGTATCGTTGTAATTTTATGTGTAGTTGTGTTTTGATTGTTCGAGGGAGTCCATGTTTTACCTTAAAGTATATACTAGTTCACACTGTTCTGCAGAGCCCTCATTTCTAAATTTATAGGAAATCTCCACCATCAAGTATCACATGATCAATAGTTTTTTAATGGATGGGGAGTTTGTTGCCATGTCTTGAGGGTGCAAGAATTATCTGAAAAATCCATTTTTTGTTTGGTTGTGACAGGGTTTTCGGTATGTGGCATCTGGCCCAATAGTTAGGTCCTCCTACAAGGCAGGAGAATTCTATATCAAATCAATGATTGAATCAGATCGGTCAGCTTCTAGTTCACACCCTACCCAGCCTTGATTATTGCTACCATTTCTATTGGTCATCTGTCTCCAACCATCCCAACATAATTTACCACGTTGCATGTATGTTGACGTGTTGCCAACTTGCACGTTTGTTCAGTCATTTGTCAAATTTTTGTGCTCCTGATCCGCTGCAGATGCCATTGAGTCTGCTTTGCTGTGTTATATGATATGTCCCCTTCCTCCTGTTCTTGCTGATCAGCATGGGAATATTGCTATTCTTGTAATGTTGAAATTGGACTTTCATTCATTTGCTATTTGTATAGGTTTACTTCTTTACCATTTTGCTCGTTCATTCAAATGCTTCACTTATTGGATTCAAATGAAAAAGCAGGTTCAACTGTTAACGAGTTGACATAAAGGCTCTGGTCATTTGCTTCTCTAGCCCTCATCCGGTGATGGGAAAAGCTGTGAAGTGCTCTGTTGAGTGGTAAAATATTTTTGTATAGAAGGAAGTTAAAAAGGAAAGTCAGGTGAAAACATTATGCATCTTTTACGATACCCTGTCTGACTTATAACTTGAACCAATCCCATGCCCCGTATTAAACACGCCATTGACAGTCAGTATCTTCTCCATTGGTACTGGGCGTCGAGCCATTTCCCTGCCAACTCTGCCACAGCTCCTCTCTTCCCCTCTCTGTTTCTGGAGTGTCACGCCCAGGTGCTTTTCTTTCCCACCCAAATTTAGTACCCTCAACCCTTAATTCAAATTTTCAAATTCAATTATCTCACTACATTTAGCTTCCATCTCCATTACTTCTCCACATTCACCACTCTATGGGTTGTTGCTGCAGCAGAATCTTGGAAACAGGTCAGCCTCATATCCTGGACAAGGATCGTGGTTCAGCGAAAACTCCGTCACCGGGATGCGCCATCACCGATGTTGGAAACATCCCTGGCACTGGAACCCCCGAAGAGGAAACCGTCAAAGAAGTCCTCTCAGAGACTCCCATTGCCAAGCCATGTAACATACAGCAAACATCCCCAAAGAACAAGTCTTCCGAGCTGAAAGTAAAATCAAGTGAAATGGATGGTTCACTCAACAAAGTGGAGGAAGGTACACTTTCAGTTTCAGAGGTATCTCAGGTTACAGAATGGTGCAGCAATATGAGCGAAAGCGTGTCAATGGCGACCACCATTTCGGAGCAAAGAGAAGGGGACGAAGCATCAAGTAAACAGAGCAGAGAAATGGGTCGGAATCCAAAACCAAAAATTCGAAGAAAGCGTCCATATTCCGGCGACCCATCATACCGAAGAGACCAGAGAGACAAATGTGCAACAAAGAGACCTGCTGAACTGTTATCAGAGAAGAAGTCGCGTGTTACTTGCAGATACACACATGGAACGACAGAATCAAGAGAGGCGAGGACCAGGAAACTGAATGGAGGGCAAGAACAAAAATCTGGAGTCAGCCATGGCCGCCGTTCGAGGTCACCAGCTACTCAAACAGTTAGAGAAACGAATAAGACAGGGAATATGAAAAGCAGTGCCTTGAAAGCGACTGGACAAGCTGGTGAGCAGCCAGAGGCAGTGACCACCGAGAAAAGAGACGAAGGAAAGGTGGATAAGGCAATGGATGGTGCAGCAATTCAGCCCCCAAATGAATCCATTGAAAACCCACTTGTCTCACTTGAATGTTTCATCTTTCTGTAGATTTTAGAACATATTAGTGTACTGGGTAGGAGTTGGTTGGCTTGTATGTCAAAATTCTGGAAATGTGTTGTATACAAGACTTGGGTAGTGGTTGCTGTAGTTATTTGATTGCTTGTTGTTCACTTGGACCGCCCCTTTTTTTCCAAATCTTAAGTGGTATCATGTTGTTTAGACTCTAAATACAGGAGGAAATTAGTATTTCTCGTGTTTTGAGATTCCAACTGGGTTTTGGGGATTTGCAATTCAAATGGTCCTCCAAGTTGGCATCTTTCTTTATTGTTCTTGGGAAAAGTGAAGTCTTTTTCCTTCCCCCCTTCTTTTCTCTTTGGGCTGGTATTGAATATGCATGGAGTACAGGCTATGTCTTCTCTGGTGGGGCTAACGCTGTAACGTTTCTCTTTTTCTTTTCTCTATGTGTTGCATTGTGGACTGCGCTGTCCCGAGCACTCCAGACAAAGGAGTCAACTAAAGCAGCGTGGAGTCCAAGGAGAACTTGCACCAAGATTTCCGTTAATATTTTGAGTCATCATCTCTGTTGATCTGCTGTTAATGCCATTTCTGGAAGAAAAAAATGCAAGATCAAGAAGGGTGTTCTTTTTTTTAAGCTTTCATTCCGAGAAAATTTTTCATATCTTTATAAGTAATGTTCGGTTCTTTCTCTAATTAATGTCAAGAAAGTTTTTATACTTTTATAAGAAATGTTTTGTTCTTTTCTCCGACTAATGTCAAGAAAGTTTCTATACCCTTAAAGAATGTTTAAGGAATGTTTGGTTCTTTTCTCTAACAAACGTGGGATCTCACAATCTACCCTTGGAGCCAGCATACTGCAAGTTTTCATACCTTTATAAGAAATGTTTCGTAGAAGTGGGATCTCACAACCCACCCCCTGGGAGCCCAGCGTCCTCGGCACACTCTACGGTAGCTGGTTCTAATACTATTTATAACAGTCTCACCGCTAACAAATTTATCATCTTTGAACTTTTCATTCTAAGTTTTCCTTCAAGGTTTTAAAACACGTGGAGAGGTTTCTACACCCTTATTAGAAATGTTTCGTTTTCTTCTCGAATCGATATGAGACCACAAGATCCCATACAAACCGAGGATAATTCCTTTTGCAAATGCTGTCATGGCATCAAGTTTTTCTCTGTGATATGATAACAATGGCATTATGTGAGATAAGATGATGCAGTATTATTGAGAACTTTAAATACATGGTCATCATCTGTTCCTTTTCTTCTTTAATTCGTGTTTTGGATGCACATGTTTCACCTCTTTTCTGGATTGACAGTAGAATCATGTAGACAATTAACAATGTTGCAACTTTGATGTGAGTGAAAGAGGCATGGGATTCATTATGAACAAACAATCAGAGTAATAATCAGCTTACAACAATCATTCATTTCCATCCTCTCTTTAATTTGGTGGGGGCAGGAGAAACCCCCAATCCACATCTTCAAATATAACCTACACGGCTCCAAGTTATAGACTGAAGTTGATGTGACTTCCACCGTGTTTTCAACTTTAGAATGTCAAGTTGTAAGCTGAAATTTCTAGTGTGGGACAACCCTTGTTCGGTAGTGATGTTATTTTTCAGGTCAACTGATGTTGGAGCTTGATGTAACGCTTGTTGGTTGACAAAGGCTCAAGTTATGTTGATGCAAAGGCTTTAAAATGGGTTCTGGAGGACATGGTGCAGGAGCCGGGTGAGCTATGTAGGTAGGGATTTCTTCACCAGGCATCAGTACTGATACTCCCCGGTCATAAACTGTCATCTACGTAAATCAAGTGATAAAGAATCAACCAATCAATCTAATAAGCACACAACCAATCAATATTGTCTTTTTTGAGTTTTTCCTTCTAAGCTATAAAAACCGTATGCTAAAGAGAGGTTTCTACACCTTTATAAGGGATGTTTCGTTCCTCTCCAACCGATATGTGATCTCACAATCCACCTCCCTTAGGGATCTAGCGTCCTCACTGGTACACTACCCAGTAACTGGTTCTGATACCATTTGTAACAACTCAAGCCCACCGCTAACATATATTGTCATCTTTGGGTTTCCCTTAAGGTTTTAAAACGCGCATGTTAGAGAGAAGTTTCACCACCCTAATAAGGAATATTTTGTTCCCTTCTCCAACCGATATGAGATCTCACAATCCACCCCACTTGAGAGCCAAGCGTCCTCGCTGACACACCGCCCCGTAACTGGCTCTAATACTATTTGTAACAACTCAAGCTCACTGCTAACATATATTATCCGCTTTAGCCAGTTACGTATGGCCGTTAACCTCACGATTTTCAAACACGCTGTTAGAAAGATGTTTCCAAATACTTATAAAAAATATTTCGTTTACTTTGCAACCGACGTGAGATCTTATGGTAATCATCTAGCTACTAGTATCATGGTTCTCAAAATGTTACAAGAATTCAGCAGTGGTACAAAAGGTCATAGTCAGAAATGATTAAGCATGTTCGACAGACGCAATAAAGTAGTAGTTTTTTGTTTGATTGTTGTCACAAATGTATGCATGACAGTTCTGTAGCATGTTGTTCATCACAGAGAGAGAGAGAGATAGGTATATTAATGGCTTGAGCACTGTTCAACCACTGTAGAAAACAGTACAGAATTATAAATTTGCTTAAAAAACAGATGAATCAAAACCTCACTCCAATAGAACATTAATGCTTGTCTGAACCTTTTTCCCCTTTTTCTTTTGCCTTTCCCCCCCCTCCCTTAATAAGAGAAAAAACAGCCACATGATCAAACATGATGGTCACTAAAAGCAAATGTCCTCAAACAACAAAGATAACTCATAATAATCATAACTATTCTGATTTTCAGTTGAAAATAGCTGTCCTATGAGCAAAAAGGAGGACAACTTTATCATCCTTGAGATGCAAGAATAGAACACAAACTAGTGGAAGTAGATTCAGATTGATCCCAGGACCTCCTATTTCATTACCCTTCTACTCTGCTACTATATTTTCCAACACAATAAAGCTGAAAGTATCACTCAAATCTTTGAATACATGCTTGTATGCTACAAGTATACCTCATAGAATGTAGGAAAAGTATTGAAAATGGTGCCAGATGAAAGACTTTGAGACACTTTATAAAGCTACAAATACTTTAAAATATGTGCACATTACTATATTGTAATCAGAAATGGAAACATAGCATGTGATTATGTTTGTAATTAACTTGCTACTGCACCTAAGGTTTATGAACAGTTGTGCTATATCTTGCTTGATATGAACAATGCATTTAATGGTGTAGGATAGATTTGTTGACTAAGCGTGAGATCGATCCTTCATTGGTTGGAGAGGGGAACGAAACATTCTTATAAGAGTATGGAAACCTCTCCCTATCAAACACGTATGAAAGCCTTGAGGGAAAAGTTAAAAAAAAAACAATGTGCTAAATGGTGGGCTTGGGCTGTTACAAATGGTATCAGAGTCAAACATCAGGCGGTATGCTAACAAGGACGCTAGGCTCCCTAATAGATGGGTGGTTTGGACTGTTACACTAAGTTTGTTCGATTGAATAATCTTCTCTCTAAAATGACATCTGGTACAGTTTCACAAGCAACTAATGCTTAAAAAACGAAGAGCAGCTTCCACATTTTAATGCCTTATGAACATGTTTTTCCCATCAAATTCTATACTGGTTTGGATTGCTTTGACAATTGAGACAAAAACACATGCTACCTACATGCTGTGGACCCTTATCCTTAAAATCTAGAAGGAAGAAAACTATTGTATTAATGTTATCAAACAGAGGTAATGTAGAAATTTCCAGAAGAGAACTGTTTGAAAATAATTTAAACATTATTAATTGTCACCAAAAGAGATAGAACTATGATTCTGGTTAGTAACACCATAAGATAATCACAAGGCCACGACAAACTTCCATAAACAAACAGATATTATCAGCAACATCAAGGAGGGCGTTGATCTAAACCTCTAAAGATTAAGAACAAAAGAGTTTCATGGTTTGATGTGAAATGCAACAAAACAGTGATTAGATAGGCCAATAATGCAGCCCACTAGAGGAACTAAGTGCCAACAAGCTATGCCATTATTCTTGAAGATAATGAAATTTCATAAGATTCACAGGCTACCCATCAAGCCTTAAACCAGCTAAAGCAAAGCACAAACAACTAAAAAGACCAAACAAAATGTAGGGTATGTTGAAGAAAAGAGAAGACAAAAACCTTGGGAGATGGGTAACGAGGCTTTCCATCGAGCATCATCTGGGCTTCAAGATCAGAAGGCGGCCTGCCGATAGCCGCCGGCGATCTAGGTCTGAGAAACCTCTCAAAAATGGCCATAACAAGGAACATAGAGATGAGAATGGCAGTAGCCACAAACCCAAATGACACGGCATTAACCGAATCATCAAAACGGCTCCAATACTCATCTCTTTCTGGGTTCAACGGTGACACGGCCGGCAGCGCCGGCGCTATCGCCTCCCATTTTTGGTCACTGCCCATTAAAACCAAACCCAAGTAACAACAACCCACTCTGTTTTTTCTCTCTCGTGCTAGAACTTCTAATAATGGCGAAGGGCCATGGCTGCAGAGAATTGGGTGTTTTTTAGAGAGAGCGGAATTGGGTTCAAAAAGAAGATGAAGTTCAAGGGAGGGATGGCTACAATGATTACATCGAGACCAGTGATTCAAAGGCCATGTGCCATGAAAGAGTGGAGATTTTGCAGAAGAGAAGATCGTTTGCAGGCTTTATTAACAAAATGCGAGAGTGTTTGTGTACGTCTCAACTCAATTGCTATATCAGTATTTCAGAGCAAGGCCTCTTTTAACGTTGCTTTCAGAAAGAAAAACAAAAACAAAACACTTTTTGTTGGGCTGAGTGATGATTTCTTTAGAACATAATGGAAAAAGGAAGAGATTTCTTTAAAAAATATAGTTATGTTGATGGAATGAAGAGAATGTTTAGAGATTTATACAAGTTTAGTTGAATCAAAAGGAAGATAGAATATGTGAATTGATTGGGAATGGCATGCTTAATTGATTGCATTGAGAATTGAACTTGTTTATTTTATTTGTTACGATAATGTAATCACTTAACATATGGACTATGATCTTTTAATTCTGCTCTAAGTGATGATGTTCATGTTTGACTCTTAATAGGTTACTTATAATGATGTTTTAATAATCATTACATTTTAAACCATACCAGTTTAATCTTGCAGCTTTTTGACATGTGAAAATAGTACACAAATTTTGTAAAAAAAAAGATTTGAAACCTATTGTATCAATAAAATGTTTAAAAATGACTTAAAAGAATCGAAAATTACTATCCAACGGTGGGCTTGGGGCACTACAAATGGTTTTAGAGCTAGATACTGGGCAGTGTGCTAACGAGGACGTTGGGCTCCCAAAGAGGAGTAGATTGTGATATCCTACATGCTCATGTGTTAGTAGAGCCAGACACAGGACTGTGTGTTAATGAGGATGTTGGGGTCCCAAGAGGGAAGATAGTGAGATCCCACATGCCCGTTTGCTAGTAGAGCCAGACACGGGACGATGTGCTAACAAGGATGTTGAACCCCAAAGGAGTGAATTGTGAAATCTCACATGCCTGTATGCTAATAGAGTCAGACACGAGATGATATGCTAATGAGGACGTTGAGCTTCCAAGAGGGTGGATTATGAAATCCCACCTGCCCGTGTGCTACTAGATCCATACAAATGGTATTAGAGATAGACATTGAACGGTGTCTTAACGAGGACATTGGGTCCCCAATGGAGGTAGATTATAAAATTTCACGTGCTCGCGTGCTAGTAAATCTATTATAATGAGTCAAAGTAGATAATATCAATGAGTTCTACAAAAAAAAAAAAAAAAAAAAAAAAAAAAAAAAAAAAAAAAAAAAAAAAAAAAAAAAAAANAAAAAAAAAAAAAAAAAAAAAAAAAAAAATATGTTAAAAGTGATTTGAAATAAATTTTTAAAAAAAGTATTTTTACCCATAATTCCACCCATATGGCCAGACATATGAGTATAAATAAGAATTTAGAGATCTGGAGGGCCAATGGCACGTGCTACCAAATACGTGTCAGCAGTAGTCACCTTGCTTTCAGTCTTTCACGTGCCCTCTGCGTACGACACATCGAAAAAGCACCGTACCCAACCTGACCCCGGGGACCGCTTCGCCAACGTGGATACGCACAACCTCCAGCCTATCACCTCTTGCCACGTCGCCTTTCTCATTGGCCGGAACACGACTCAGCATGCGGCGGAAGCACGAGAAGCTTAATGGACGGTGAAGATTTATCGGACGCCCGATTGATAAGGACCGTCAATTTTTTGAGGTGGGCGTTGGAAGTTGACTGTTTGGTTACAGTAATAATGATATCCGGGTCAAGAAAGGGTGAGGAGTGGAGCAGGTGTGGGTCAGAAAAGTGGACCATGTGAAAAAGTGGACCCGGGTCTGAAAGTTTGGACTCACGTGAATGTACCAACTTTCTGTGCACCTTTTTCTCTCTCTCACGCTTGTTTTACAAGTTGGGCTTCATGTTACCCTCACCTTCATAATTGGGCCCACTTAACACTTATCTTTTGGCCCATTTTTTAAATTATATATATATATATATATATATATATATATATATATATATATATATATATATATATATTTTACTTATGGATTAAATTTTTTACTTTTACAGCCTAAAAATGTAAATTTGTTGAGTTTATTAAGGGTTGAAAAATACTTTTGCCCATTTTTTACTTTTAGTTTTCTTTCTTAAACCAGGTCTATTATGGAGAGTGTCTAGTCCTATTCGAATCAGTGTCAATCACCGAACGCTGCGAGGCACTGGTCAGAGTAGGGCTAGACCCTCTTCATAGTAGACACATTTTAAGAATCATGAGGCTTATAACGATACATAATGAACTAAAGGAGATAATATCGGCTAGCGATGAGCTAGAATGGTTACATTTTGATCTTTCTCTCATTTGTTGACCACACCACAACAATATATGCATTTTGTCACTTACTAATTTCAGATCTCTTATTTGTCACCCATGTTCCGATTGTAGGCTTGTGTCCCTCTAATGTTGACATTACGTCGATGATGTTACTTATCATAGCTAGATCTTTCGTTTAATCATTCTTCATGTTGTCAAATCGACATGCTAAACTCAACACAAAATAAAAGTTGGGTCGCGCTTGCTACATGGATTACAAAATTTTAAAATTTTAAAACAACTTAGTTAAATTTAAGTTATTATTTAAATATTTATTCAAATTATTATTAAATTGATGAAATTAAAATTTTAATGTAAAAAATTGAGTACAAAGATAAATAATAATTTTACCATACGTCTTTGTTTTATTTTATAACTACCACGCAGCAATGGCTGCAAAGCTCCTTTTCGCCCTCCTCTTCAATGGGCTCCATACTCCTCCATGCGTCACCATTTGCAGACGTATCAAACACGTGGACAACCGACGTCATCCTAGAAGGATGATTTGGCATCTTACGTCCTGCAAGGAAGTACAAGTCAGCTCCAGCTGGCGCCATCGTGACGAATTTCGTTGCTGACAGAGCCTCGAATTGAGATCCTTCCACCTCATTCCAAATATTCAAATTCCAATCATATGCTTCAATCTGTCCCTTCCATGAATTTAAGCAATCGCCGGAGCTGAACAACTTATCATCGACGGCGACGATCTGATACGGTGGAATGTCCAGCTGCCACATTCCAATTATCAAATTCCAACGGGATTCTTCGCCGTCGTACACTTCAGCAGAACTTCTCTCCATATTGCCGATGTAATCATTGTTACCGGCGAATCCGCCGATGACGTGAAATTTTCCCTGCCATGTCACCCCGACACACTTATGTCTGGAAGTACTCATATCTGGTAGCGATTGCCACTCATCCAGTGCTGGATCGTAGACTTCTGAAGACGCCATTCCAGTAGCTGTGCAGAGCTGGCATTTCCCTCCAGCGACGTAAATCTTGTCGTTGATGACAGCGCAGGCAAAGTCGAACCGAGGGACGATGAGGGGTGCACATTTATACCATTTATTCTCACACACGTTGTAACGCCAAACCTGTCGCCGAACTTCCAATTCGCTTCGGATTTGGTTGTCGACCGGTGCTATATTCTCGCAGAGGCGACCGCCAATGACGTATATGAATTCTCCGATTGAAACCATTGAAAATCCCTTAAGAGCGTGGTTTTCCAGAAGGCCAGGGATTGTAGTGACTCTGTTCCATGAGTTGTCTTGTGGGTTGTAACAATCAATCCAATTAGAGAGGGTGGTGCCTTGTGAAGCATCTTTGCCGCAATAGGAAACACAGATCTTGAAATTAGCCGATGGGTTTCCTGCAGGGGGCCGAGACGGGGACGCGGAAGCAGTCGAAACCGAACCCATATGGGTTTGATCAGTTTAAGGTGATGGCGGGGGAATTGAACAATGAAGATCGATGGAGGTTAAATAGGCAGGAAACAGTCGGATAATTCTAAGGATAGTAATTTGTTTGCATCGAAGTTCATAAATTGGGTGACAAAAGAGAGGTAGCATTAAACTGGTGACAAAAACTAAGTAAATTTCTTGTTCGTTCTTAGCCAATAAAGATTCGTCTACCTTTTCTAGTGTTGTTTCTTTGAAGCAGTGTGGTTTGAAGAAAACAAGGAAGGATGTCCCCTTGGCTAGTGAATTCAAAAAGATAAAACGTTGACTGAAGCGACCTGTCATTAAGAAATATGAACACTGATTTCCTTCTAGAAAGATCGAAGTAAGATACTGAAAAAGATACTATAACAACCAAAGCCTACCGCTAACAGATAATGTCTACTTTGACCCATTACGTATCACCATCAGTCTCACGGTTTTTAAAACGCGTCTATTAGGGAGAGGTTTCCACACCTTTATAAGAAGTGTTTCGTTTTCCTTTCCAACCGACGTGGGATCTCACAATCTACCCCCCTTGGAGGCCTAGCGTCTTCGCTGGCATATCGCCCCATGTCTAGCTCTAATACCATTTGTAACCGCCCAAGCCTACCGCTAACAAATATTGTCCACTTTGGCCCTTACATATCGCCCTTAGCCTCATGATTTTTAAAACGCGCCTATTAGAGAGAGGTTTCCACACTTTTATAAGAAGTGTTTCGTACCCCTCTTCAACCGATGCGGGATCTCATAGAAACTATCTTTAGGTACAATAAACTTTTGTCTGAAAAAGAGGCATCCATGTAAAATAAAACACAAGAAAAGGAGCCATGGCTATGTATTTGGTCGCTATGTGTGGGAGGATTGGTATTCAAGAAATAAACCCATACAAGCCAAAACAGAGCGTCCCTAGAACTCTGTTCACTACAATCAGTCTTCAAGCCATGAAGTATATAGGCATCAGAGATGAGAAGAACTCAATTTTCAACAAGTGTTCTAAACTTGACACGCCTTTTAATACTACCCATCCGATCATATCCTATGCCAATCTTGCTATGCATCAGTTTGATAGCTAAATCAGAGTTACCTGCCTTTCTCAAGCCATTGATAAGAACGGTACGTATTCTTCCTGGTATTTCCCTGCCCCGATCCACGATTCCATCTGCCAATTTGCAGGCTTCCTTGAAGCGTCGGGCTTTGCACAATGCGTTGATCATATCCTCGAATGCTGTCTCCGGAATGACACCCATAGGGGCAAGGTCATCCAAGATTTTGCAAGCCCTGGCTACCTTGCCACAAAGACACAGCCCTATGGCAAGAGCTCTGAAAGAAGCTACCGTTGGGGTGATTCCTTTGTCGATCATCGTGTCCCATAGCTTTATCGCCTCTTCATTTCTGTGCTCCTTGAACAGCCCGTCGATAAGAATTGTATATGTATAAACTGTTTGATCACAACCTTCTTCTTCCATCCTCCCAAAAAGTGCTAAAGCTTGATCAATCTTCCCATGCTTGGCTAGTGCATCTATAATGGCATTATAACAATACGAATCTCGAGCACAACCCTTTTCGAACATTTCTTCGAAAAGATTTTCTGCTTCTACAATTCTCCCAGCCTTTCCAAGTCCATCAATCATACTAGCATAGAACATTGCATTGATCCCCACTCCTTTATTTCTGCAGAAATCAAAATATTCCATTGCTTCCTCCAATCTACCACTCTTGCACAATCCATTAACGACGACACTGTACGTAACAGCATCCGGTTCAAGCCCCTCATTTTTCATCCTCTCAAACAGCCTCATGGCCTCTCCCATGCTCCCACTTTTCGAGTACGAATCGATCAAAGCTGTATAAATTGCAACGTTCGCTCTACAATCTTTCTGATTCATCTTTTCGAAAACAGCATAAGCTTCCATACATTTTCCTTGCTTACAGAGCCCACCAATAACTAAACTATAAGAATGAGAAGCAATTTCCAGTCCCCTTTCTTCCATTTCAAGGTAAAGACTCAGACAAGTATCGAAATCTCCTTCGGAATAACATGCCTGGATCAATGTCATGTACGTAATCTTATCCGGCTTCACGTTCTTCATCTCCATAGCTCTAAATTTCTCCATTGCCTTGTGCATTTTCCCAGCCTTGCAATATCCTTTGATCATAACATTATATGTCACAGTGTCGGGCACAATCTTCCCACCATCCATAACCTCAAAAACCCTCTCAGCAGACTCAATAAACATTGAATTCACCAACCCATTAACCAAAAAGTTATAAGTATACAAACTCGGTTCGATCCCATTTTCATTCATTCGACGCCAAACCCACAACAATTCCTCAACAAGCCCATGATTCCCAAAGCTCTTAATCAAAGAGTTAGCCGCTGATAGAGTCATTAACAGACCCTTACCTTTAAGTTCACAGAATATCAATCTGATTTTCACCAAATCGGCCGAAAAAGTTAAGAGTTCAATCAAAGATACGTAACATTCGATCTTATGTACATATTTCTTCTGCTTACCCGCCCAATAAAAGAACCGAATAGCAATTTCAGGAACCTCACGAAGTTCAACAGATTGTAAAACAAATGCAACAAAATTTGGCGATAACTTAATCAAAAACTTGCGACAAAAAGAATCTAAATTAGCTTCCATGTTCGAAGACCCATCCAGAAGATTCAAAATTTGAGCCACCCATGGAGATGGGTCTGGCCGTTGAGAGCTCGAAACTACATCAGAGACATCCACAAAGGGTTCTATCCATTCGGGAGGAGGGAGAAGAGTGTTCGTAAAGACAAACCTGAAATACTCGCCGAAACCGCGAGTGACATTGCAATCTGAACTATTAGGTGATAATTTCCCATTTCGATACAAAGAATATGAATTAGGATCGAGTAAACGAAGGGGACGAGACGAAGAGCAGAGGAATGAAGGCCTCAGTAGGGTTCTTCTCATTGGAGCTTTGCGCTACAAGGCGCGCAAGGGGATTAAAATTGAAGTATTTATAGTTTATTATTATATTATAATAAATCAAACTAGTCATCAAATGGTCCCATGGTCTAGTGGTCAGGACATTGGACTCTGAATCCAGTAACCCGAGTTCAAATCTCGGTGGGACCTTTTTTCAAATCTTTTTTTATTATTTATTATTTTGATATCTATGATGAACTAAAGTTGACATTTTGGCCAATGCTTACGGTATGAAACTTCTCTTGCCTTTGTTTGCTTTTGTTGCTGTTTAAACAAGCATGTTCGTGTTGTAATATGCCTATCTTCAAATTTGCAGCAATTGATAATCGTAGTTTTTAAACAAATGCTTAGCATTGGCTGGAAACGTGGTAATGATATCGTTTACATGACAGGCAGGCTGGAAACTTTGGCCATTTGCTCATCTCACAACGTATGGTGCTATTCCCGTTGAGCAAAGGCTTCTTTGGGTGGAAGCATGCCAACGAAGACATTGGGCCTCCAAGATGGTGGATTGTGAGATCTTAGAAGAGAACGAAGTGTTACTTATAAGAGTGTGGAAACATCTCCCTAGTAGTGTGTTACACAACCAGACAACCGAACACGATAATTTCTTGGTTCAAAACCTGAGTTTTTAGCACATTATAGAAATTCATTTGAACCAATTTCTTGCAATGTGAGTGAGCTTTGAAGATGAGTTGATCTATGAAATCAGTTCACTTTTGTGCAATTCATCATATGGTGGTGGCAAAAATGTACCTGCACAAACCAGTAACCTTGCAGCAGTTTGAAACATTTTTGAGTTCACAATTCTAGAATTCTACAAATCCTACGACACTGGACTTTTGTCGGAAAATCTAGGAAGTTGAACGAGCGAGTTCACTCGAGTGACGCCTTCCAAACCCGACCAGTTTTGATCTTCTGCAGGTACAGCTTCACCAATCTCTCTGTCATCATCAGCTAATCCCCCATAAGTTTTGTTTTCCTCAGATGATCTGACAGTGTTATTCCTTTGCAGACATGGCTCAGACTTCTGGCCATCATCTGATTCGATAGCAGCACCCGAATGGATACTACGCGACGTTGCAGACGAGAAGCCTTGTTCATCACAATCGGATTCGGAGTCCATCATCCCATCCAAAAATAAGCAGACAACAGCACAGTCATCCATTTTCGAGGTCGGGTATTTGAGTTTCCATTCACGAGCAGCAGAGTCCACCACGGATCTCGCAGCTGATGCCCGGGATGAGGCCGAGGACACTATGTCGACCACCTCTTCATTGCTCAACACATCCCATACCTGAAAACATAGACTCTTGATTCCACTGTTAACGTAATGAACAATTGTAGTAAAGCAATCACTTCCAAGTATCAAGTTCTCCTTGAAGAGCAGAAAGAAGCAGGGGAGAAAACTTACCCCATCTGATGCAAGAACGACGAACTGATCAGCGTCGGTGAGGGTTCGATGTGAGAATTCAGGTATAGAGATAACTCCATATTCTTTCAAACAGAAGTCTCCAAAAGCACGAGCCATGGCTAAACCGGGTGCATCGTCGAAAGGTAACCACACCCTTGGCACTTCAGGCTCATCTTGCAATGCAAACACCCGACCTTTACACCGTTTTATTCTTTCAGCTTCTCCTATAAAATGATGCTCAACAATCATAACTTAGCTCATAAATCAAACAATGAATGAACAAAACAGCAACAAACATACTTGGCAAATCTGGCTTAAGATCCACAGTCAACTGGACCGCCACTGTTGAATCATTGGCGTCCTTCGAGGCAAGGATTGCTCGAGAGTCCCCGATGTACCCCATGAACAGATTTGACCCCTAAAAACGACCAAATAAGAAACAAAGACGACACAAGAAAACCCGAATGATTGGAAAGGAAATCCTTCATCTCAAACCTGTTTAACTATGGTGACTGCAGTACTACCACTACAAAAGCAGTCCACATTAGGATGTGATCTCAACTCCTTATCCATAGCTTTATACGAGTTCAAGAATGCATCTCGCCATACCGAATTCTGCGAGTCCTCGACAAAACAATCCTTCTCAGAATCTTCACATTCTCGAGATGTCTTCAAATTCCTCTGGAAACAGGTTTTACCAGAGACATTCTGATTCAACTGAGGAGACTGAAAAAACGACAGCAACTTTATAGGCAATGTATCCCTCACTTGTCGAGAAACAAGGTGACCGTAAGGTCCATGACCATCAAAAACACCACAAAAGATTGTGTCGTCCGACATGAAATCCTATAAAAACAAGTAAGAATGAACCTCTAACAACAATTCAACTAACTATGTGTCGAAGAACAGAAACAGAACAAGAACATACTTCCCAAACAACCATGGCGTCCTGGTTTACGCCCTTGCGACCTTGTTGGGTGAAAATGCAAGAAGAATTACTCTTTCCATTCAAGAAGATTCTGTTGGGAGCTGAAGGAAGATTCTGAAGAACATAAACATGGTCGGAGTTCGATCTCTTTCGACCTTGAAATCTAATTCCCATACATGAAGAAGAAACTGATTCCCCATTGCTCTGGCTACTACAAGTACTATGACTGCTTGTAGAGACACAACCACCCATTTTGATATCTTGGGATTCAAAAGAACATCATCTAATGGAAATAAGAATGACAAGATTCCCCTTTTAGGCTAGATCTCAAATGAACACATTCAAACACTCAAAGAACAGATAGGGACAGAGAGACAGAGAGAAGCTTTTCTTCATACCGCAATATGTTAAGACTTTGAATGCTTTTTTGCAGTCAAACGAGCTGAACAAAACAAGAAACGGCTGATTAAACAAATGATTTTAAGCCATAGTTTATAGCGAATCAAGAAAGTGATGCATGAGGGAAAGTAAAATAAAAGGCAAGAACAGGTCATTAAATAAGCTGCCATGTGAGGCAGGAATAGAAAACAATAAAAAAGAAATCCTTGTCCTCATGATCCTGCGAGCGGTGACTTGTCCATCGTCAGACCCACGTTGGAAAAAACTAAGTGCACTGTGTCCATTGTCAAAGACAGTTTTTTAATATCATTTCAGAAAACCCCACTTGTTCAAAAGATCCATGGACGAACGAGAATCAAACAAAAAGCTATGATTTTCACTTGGTTTCAAGCTTAAAAATGGCTGAAACCAGTGAAATGAGCACTTACAGGTTCTAATTTCCATGGTTTTCAAACCATTTCAGAGACGAGAAATGAAAGAGAATCAATCAAGAGAACTTGTAAAAGTATAATAAAGCAAGGAACACGAAAGCAGAAAAGGACTAGAAAAGATATGATGTTGGCAAAGGGAAGAGCCCCAATGAGCAAAAACAATGATAATATATAACACAAAAAGCAGAAAACAGTCACAATTACAGAACCCAGAAAGAAAAAAACCTCTTCTGATTCAAAGCTCTGCATACTCTCACTCAAACAGATACATAATGAAGAAGAAATGCATGTAGAGACGATTTGTGATTCTTTGTTGATAAGGATGGAAAACAAATCAGAAAACACCAAAATTCAAGCAAATGAAAGCATACCCATCAACCAATATTGCACAAATGGCTAAAGAAACAGGAAAAGAGGAGGCTTTAACAACTGAATGAAGAAAGGAGAGAGTAAAAGCGCCTGTGAGAAATGAGAGAAAATTTGAGGATAAGCCAAAATTGGGTGTGGGGTTTTGCTTTTAGGTCAGAGAGAGAGAGAGAGAGGAGAGAGAAAGAGTTGGCAATTAACAGATAATAAAGCTTTATTAGTTGAATGCACCACCATTTTGGATAAGGTTAGAACCCAGAAGAGTGCTTCTCCATTTTGAACTGTTCTTATTGACATTCCAACATTATCCTCCCAAATCTTTAAGAGGGTATTCGTATTATAATGTAAACAAAAACCAGAAATGAAGAACAGATCCAACGGATGAAAATGTTTGTGACAGAGTTAAACCAAACCTATTGCCCATTTGGGCATTGCTTTGTTCAAAGTGGCTTCCTTTCTTGTTCTTTATCTGAATTGCTATCACTCTACAGTACAGTTTAGGGAGTTGGGTCGAAGAGATAGCTTGATGGGTCTTAAAAAAAGGGTATTTTCTATGCAATTCTTTGTTTTGAGTATCGTTTTGATAGCAAAAACAGAGAATAAGGAGATGAGATGAGATTAGATTAGGCAAAAGCTCACATCATTTCACATTATTGCAGTGAGTTTGAGGGCATTTGACTTAGAGAATGTGCATAGTTCACGTGTGTAAGAGAAAGAAGAGTCCAATCCAAGTTGGGGGCCAAAGGGTGTGGGATGAAATAATGCGACCGACCGAAGTCAATGGGATCTTCGATTGCCCCAAATTGATTCAATTCAATACCCATTTCAATCCCCCAACTGCCAGTTGCTATCAGTGATGGGTGACACTTTTAAATGCCTTCACACGTCCTCTTTCAATCCAACCTACTCTCCCCTTGCTTGCTTTTATCACAAGCCATCTCTTTCTCCTCTAAACTTCCTAACTCAACCACTCATTATTTCCTTACATATTAGTCTTAAAACGTGTATGCTATAGAGAGGTTTTCACACCCTTATAAGAGATGTTTCTTTCCCCTCTCAAACCGATAAGGGGTCTAACAATCCACCCTTCTTAGAGGCTAGTGTAATCGCTGGCACCATTTTAAAACGTGTTTGTTAAGGAGAGGTTTTCATATTTTTATAAAGAATATTTCGTTCTTATCTCCAAACGACGTGGGATCTCACAATTACATTACTTTCACGTCGTTTTATCGATCTTTTGTCTAACATTCTAAATGATTTCTACTTTTATTGTAGATCGAGCTGGTTCAACTTGAGAAAGAAATTGATGAGGGGGAACGGGAAAGATAAGCAAAAGGAGGGGAAACTTATGAAATACGTTTTGATGAAGTACAGAGGTTGCCTCACTCAAAAAAAGAGATCGAACCAACTTTTTGTTGTCACTTTTGGTTGCTTTTGCTTTTCATTATTTATGTGATACAATAAGAACAACCCCATCAAAAAAGACTGTCATTCATTGTGTGGTCAATGTTTTAGTTCATTTTCTAAGTCAATTGGGAGATGGGGAAGCCATGTCATCTATCTTTTTTATCTATCTAACAAAATTGTTACTCTAGTTGAACCCACATCGATATCGACATGGCTAACAATCAATCTAAGTCGTATCCATAATCTCATGATACTCAAATTTAAGAGTTAGCTTCATGGAAAATTCTCCTCATTGAGTTGTATGTAGTGCAATCGGGTTAGGTAAGAAAGATGATGCCTCAACCGGTTGCCATAATAATTATTAATCTATGACCCCTCCCCGAGAGGACATTTGATGGATCAAATGGTGGTGACAGAGGAAATTCATGCCTTGTCCACATACTCAAGATTAGTGGGAATAAGAGGGTCAAAAAGGTAAAAGAAAGAAATACATATATTAGCTTGTAACGATCCATACCCAGAATTTAGATTTGTCATGGCTTCGATATCCCCCTACATCTCTTGCAACATTGTAGCGATACCTACTGTCACGATGCCTACATCCCAGTTCTTCTTAGTTATCCTATTTTAAAGATCTCTCTTGTTCGAATGTAGTCTCGGTTCGTTGATATAACCCTCACTTACTTAGGTGTCAGTGTATGAAGTAAATAGGTCAACTATATAATTTAGGTCAACAAAATTGGAATAAAGTGAAAGAGTCCCTATTCTAAATTAATAAGATTAGGCTGTGTTGGTTTGACTCAAGGAGGTGCCAACTAAAAGAATCCAAGTCTTTTCACAAAAACCTTTTTGTAAAATAATGGAGTTCGGGTCAATACTTTTCTATACTATATGATTGGTGTGCCAAACTAGATGTATAAATGATTTATTTTAATGTATTTCGTGGTTTTAGCTCAGACTCAATTGCATAAGGTTGATTTCAGACATTGTTAAACTCAGTCCAATTGTTTCGGTGGAAAATCACCCAAACCAACCATTAAACATTTGGTCGGTCGGAGTTATTTATTCAAATTTTTATTTAAAAAATTATTATTTACAAATACTCAAATAGATTGGGCCTAGAGTTGGGCCTAATAAATGTGGGCTTTATGTTGAAACTTGAGTTAAAGCCCATTAGTCTCCCTATGAACAAGAAACGGAAGATCTGAGCCTTATATCTCATTGGTCCATCCCTCATCCATAAGTCCCAACAAATAAGATAAGATGATAAGTACACGTGGCAAACACCCATTTCCCCAAATTTCTCTACTAAATTTCACTTTCACATTTCAGATCCCCTTCTCCCCTTCCAATTTCTAGTTGCCTCAAAATCATGGCTTCCCCGACACTGATAACCCCATCTACTTCCAAATCTCAGCCTCTCATCATCCCTCTCAAACCCAAATCCTCCATTTCCGCCGCTGCAACAACCACCACCCACCATTACTCCCGCCGCCGCGAGTTCCTGTCTTTGACGGCCTCTGTTCTAGCGCCGTCGTGGGTTCTGTTCCCTCCAGCTCCGGCACTAGCGTCGTCTGACGAGGAGTACGTGAAGGACACAACCGAGGTGATAGGAAAGGTGAGAACGACGATCACCATGGATAAAAACGACCCGAATGTGGCGGCGGCGGTGGCGGAGCTTCGAGAAAGTTCCAATTCTTGGGTGGCTAAGTACAGGAAGGAGAAGTCGCTGTTGGGACGAGCTTCGTTTAGGGATATGTATTCAGCTCTGAATGCGGTTTCCGGGCATTACATTAGCTTTGGGCCGACGGCGCCGATTCCGGCCAAGAGGAAGGCCAGGATCTTGGAAGAGATGGCCACCGCCGAGAAGGCTCTGTTAAGAGGGAGATGAAGAATGATGTGAGGGATATTTCATCATTTTTTTTTCCCCCTAAAATTCGGTAATTATGATATTTAATATATATTTTTAGTTCATATTCTTCTAACAATATTTCCAAAATTCATATCCAATTTTTAAATTTTAATAATTTATTTTATTTTAGAAATTATTTTCAGGAAGAAATTCTATTATTATATTGAAATAAAGCCCAGAATTTTCTGGTGGGCTACCAGCAGGGCCTTCATTCTAAGTTGGGCCTTAACTTCTGCAATAAGCTAACGATACGGCCCAATACCACAATTTCCGTTCTCTTAATTTTCCGGAGATATCGGTTCCAACGACGTCGTTTCAGGCTTTTGTTTTTTTAATTTTAGCTTGAAATATTAAAAAAATGTTTTTAATGAAATATTCTAATTATTATTAATAATAATTTAATTAAATGCTCTATAGACCTTACCATAATCTTAATAGTATATATTTTCTCGACTAAATTATTTAGTAGCTATTACTTCGTATCGTGCTAATTAGTATATAGTTTTTAAAAATTTAATAAAACATTTGAAATGTTAATAAAAAAATCTATCTCAAATATGGTTATTATTAATTCAAATATTTTAAATACAATTTTGACCATTCAATAGAATATATTATTTTTTAAAAATACTTCAAAGATGGTAATACAAAAATCTGTTACCAAACTTTCATTTGTATTTTTCCTTTTTTCTTTTTTTAGGAAGTGAGTAATTCTCACTAAATATTATTTGACAAAAGTCAACCCTTCTTAAATTTCAATAAAATTGAGCTCAATTAATTTATTTTCAGATTAAAACACCCCTCGAGACTTTGTCCTTGTTACAAAATAATGTTGTCATCGACAAAAAGCAAGTGAATCTCGACCATGCTCGACCTTGACTTCAAAAACGATATTCTTCGGTATGATCCAACGGAGACTAACTATTTCACCGATTCTCGATTCCGGTAACAAAAGAGAGGGTATTTGAATATTCATCCTCTACTTTATTACATCCCATATCCCCCAACCACCCTTGAAGAAAAAAATATATAGCTTTAAAGGAGAAGGGGAAGTGAAATTAAAGGGCACAACACTTGGCATTCAACAATTTGGTCCTTTGTGAGTAAATTGTGAAGACTTTAGGGACCAAAAAGCAAATAAACTCCCCACCAAAACCATTTAATATCAGGGGTCTCAATTATCCATATTTCCATAATCTCTCTCTGTCATTCTCTTCTGGATTTCATCATTGACCCCATCTAAGATTGTCTTCCATTATTTGATGTTACATTAGCCCCTTGATTTATTACTTCCCAATATGAATATATATTATATGATATGATAATCTATAATAAGCTTTTACACTTAATCCATCCGTCACGTATATTAACATATAAAATTGATTATCTATACAATTATTAATCCAGGTGGGTGAGTAAAAGATAAGATAATAGCATTCCCATTTATCTTATAATAAAAATATATTTTTTCATTTTTTTTTTTTTTTAGTATTTTTAGTCAATAAATATGGAATAATTAATTTGGTCTAAATATAAAGACATGCAATTGTGTAATGAAATATATGTGTTGTAATTTTTTTAATTAATAAAAAAAAGTCAATAAATGAAAAGGACGTCATGAACGAATTTATAATGCGCTCCCTTTTCTTCAGAGGTACAGAGGACAGAGACACGTTCTGCTCTTCGTCGGATTAGAATTTAGAATATAAATGAGAAATCATTAACCGAATTCTTCCTCTTCTTCGTCTTCCTCTTCTTCTGAGTCTGAGTCTGAGTCTGAAACGATTGAGAAAAGAAGGATCTGTTTTTGCAGTTCTGTTCTTCCTTCCCCTGTTTTTGTGTGTCTCGCCATACTCTGATTTTTGCTCTGCCGTATCTTTTTCCCTTTTTCTGTTGGGTTTACTGCCTTCATTTCGTCATTTTTCTATACCCGAAAAAACTAATCATTAGTCCAGGAATTATGGGTTTCTGTTGAGAAAATTAAAGGAAAGTAATCCGTTCTTGGTTGCGTCGCGTATGTTCATTTCCTCCTTCTAGTTTTAGCCTCTGTTTTTCATTGAAACCCGTTTCGGGTTTGGGTGTTTTCTCTGTTTTGGCTATTTTTCTTTCTGGGTTGTTTCCTTTTTGGATCAAAAAGGGTTAAAATCTGAAGGATTGAAGAAACGAATTTGGGTTTTCTTTTTCTTAGTTCAAATAGTTCGTGGGTTTCCTCATTACCAGCGAGGAATCTGAGTGAATAAAAGAAGAAGAAGAGAAGAATCCGTAAGAACACGGTTTGTTTCTCTCAAATCCCGACAATATTTCTGGTCTGTTTTCTGGAATGGCGTCGAATTTGGATTGTTTTCTTCATTGCACAACCCCAGTGGTTCAATCCCAATTTCTCCCCAAGGTATGAAGTTCTTTAACCTCTTTCTCTTCATTTCATTTCATCAATTTTTAATGGGTTTCAATGTTTTTACAATTTACAGACAGAAATCAGGAATCTCAATCGAGTATGGCATCCATGGGAGAGAGAAAACATGGAATATTTTTCTCTGAGTGATATCTGGAACTGCTACGATGAATGGAGTGTTTATGGAGCCAAAGTTCCAATCACTTTAAGCAATGGAGAAACATTAACTCAATATTACGTCCCTTATCTCTCCGCCATCCAAATCTTCACTGGTTTTAGGTATCTCTTTCTCTCTCAATCTGATCATTTCAAATGGGAACAGAGTCCGGCGACGATTTTTAAGAGTTCCTCTGTTTTCTCAGGGTGGAAACAGAGTCCGGCGACGGAGATTCTTACAGCGATTGTTGCAGTGAAGAGAGTGATAGCGATAAACTATGGAGATGGGATGGAACTGGAAGCAGTTCCTCTGAAGATGGAGGATCCGAACAAGAATCACTTCTGCATCAAAATGATCGATTGGGTTACCTTTACTTTCAATTCTTTGAGAAATCAACTCCATATGGAAGAGTCCCTTTACTCGATAAGGTGCCTTCAAATCATTTTCTCAGACAGTCTTACCCATAAAAAAAGAAGAAAAAAAAGCTGTAGAAACAGAATCTTTTCTTCTTTTTTTATTTTTGTGCTGAATACTAATCTCTGTATTGGGAATGTTTTATAATGTTTTGTTGTTGTTCTTCCTGAGGAAGTGTAAATGTTCTTGCCTTATCTTCTGTCTAATCCACCAGAATTGTAAAGGAAGGAACAAATCTTAGATTCTTGATTTTTATGTTTTCCATTTGATGTTGAACTTATTATTATTCGACCCTTTTCAGATCAATGGATTAGCTCGAAGATTCCCAGGTTTGATGACATTGAGGAGTGTGGATCTGTCGCCAGCAAGCTGGATGGCTGTGTCTTGGTATTGTTCTACTCTGTTTCTCTGTTTTTGGAGCTTTGTTTATTGTCAAGATGATGAATAGTTTCTGATGATTTGAGGCCATTTTTTAGGTACCCAATTTATCATATTCCCATGGGAAGAACTATCAAGGACTTGTCCACTTGCTTCCTCACTTACCATACTCTGTCATCTTCATTTCAAGGTACTCTGTTTTTCTCCTCACAGAGCATGCTCTGTTTTTTAAGCTGTTATTCATGTTCTGAGCTGTGTGTGTGGTAGATATAGAGATGGAGGAGGAGGGAGAGATGAAGCGGCAGCGGAGGGAAGCCGGGGAAGGGATAGCGGTGGCGGCGTTCGGGGTGGCGACGTACAAGATGCAAGGGAGTTTGTGGGTGTCGGGTAACGGCGGTCGGGACCAGGAGAGGCTGGTGGCGCTGTCGAGCGTGGCGGAGTCATGGCTAAAGCAGCTGAGAGTCCAACATCATGACTTCAATTACTTCACTGGCCTTCGCCATGGCTAACACAATGAGTCAATCATATATCATTTTCTTCTGCTTAAAAACCCATCAATTTCATACTCTTAATGTATTCAAAGTTTTAATCAAATATACTGATCGTTTTGGTTTGGTTTAACGTCTAATTCTATACTTAATCAATGAGGAAGGATAAATATTGTTTTAGAGTTAACGTCTAACTAACTACGACGCTTGTACTTCTTCAACTGTACAGCATCGTGATTTTAACATACTCACAACAACCCTTAAGTGGGAACTCAAGCCTCAGTCACATCTTTCACAGACAACGCTTGTTCAGTCACATACATTGTTCTTACATGTATGTTCAACTGTTGTGACACAACATCGTCGCATCTCATTGTCATATTGGTTATGAACAACATAACCCATGCATCGCAATGTTGTCTCATGTCTTGGGACACATGTTAGAAACTAACCCATGTTCGGATGTACAAGATATGAGTAGTTATTGAATATTAGTATTCCATTGTAAATGTTGATATAGTTGACTAACAACCGAGCTTAATACCAAGACCTACCACCATAGTATAGGAATTATAGAGGTCCAACAATTAATTAAATTATGTAAATACATCTGCTATTTGCCACAAATTTAATTAATTAATTAATTTGAGAGTAACGTTGATAGTTAGTTTTTGAATAACAATTAGAACTATTAATCTCCATAAAATTAATTTGAAACTCTATTGTTCCAATAGTCAACCATCCTTTATAATCATTTAGTTTTTGTTATATTTTTTAAATTTGACTATCGGCGAAAATAGTGTTCATGAGCTGAACCGTTGACGGTTTATATAAGCCGCTATTTATTTAATTTATAAATTAAAAAGTAAATCTCACAAATTATATCCTTCTACTTTTCGACGATTATTATGAACATTAAATTTTGCTTAAGCAATTGAAAGATAGCTTAGAGTTTTATATTTACTTTGAGACATGACTTTTAACGAACTTATTGATATAGTGAAGTATTAAAACAACGTTATATTATAATTATCACCTTAAACGTATGATATCAAAATTTCAAAAGTTTTATCAGAACCCGTAGCTTTAAGGATGGAACTGTTAGTATTTTATTTCAAAAATAATCTTGAACTTTAACGATTTTTATTTATATATTTTAACTTTTAAAAAAAATTAAAATACCAATTTTTTTATTTAAGAGTAGATAAAAAGAAAATTAACATGTGAAAAATTGGAAGGTTAGGTGACAATAATAAATTGGCATGATTATTAATGTCTAAAAAATTGATAATTTTAATAATATCTTTTTAAAATAATATTTTAAAATATATGGAAAATTTTATTTATATAAGTCAAAGGAGAGTTGTGGAGATTGTGCATGCTCCCTTGGTGGGCCCCACTTGTATGAGATCTTGGTCATGGATGGTCTGTTTTTTTATTATTATTTTTTTCCCTTCATAAATATTTTTCTCATTTCAATAAGCCATTTAATTAATTTTAATGTGTGAAATTATACCTTTTTTTTATTATTATTATTTTTTAATTTTCAAGGACAATATTAAAATAAGTAAATTAATATGTACTTTTTCAATAATAAATAAATATATATAGTACTGCAATCAGCTGATCGTTTTCAATGATTGTTGAATTTTATTATTAATCTACTTTTAGTTATTATTGCAAATAATATAATGATTAAATTATCAATCTATTATATAAATTTGATTAGGGTTGGGTGATTCTTTTAGGGATGAAAACATGTTGAAGGAACTTTACGATATAACCATCACATTTTAACTACGTGTAAGATTTCACATCGGTTAGAGAGAGAAACAAAACATTTCTTATAAGAGCGTGAAAATCTCTCTAAATCTTGAAACAAAAGCTAAAAGAGAATAATATTTGCCACCGGTGAACTTAATTATTACAAATGGTATCAGAGATAAATATTAGTCGGTGTGTCAGCGAGAACACTAGATTCCAAAGAGGACGGATGGTGAGATCCTACATTAGTTTGAGAAGGAATGAGACATTTCTTATAAGGGTGTGGAATCACTCCCTAACACATGCATTTTTAAAATCATGAGACTAATCGTTGTACGTAACGAGCTAAAGCAGATAATATCTGTTGCTGGAAGAGTTTGGATCAAGGAAGAGGGTAGACCTTGTTATTGCACATGCATCTGTAAGCCATTGGACATGTTTCAGCCTCCTGAAGTGAAGCACAAACAAAACTAATCGTCACTAGTCTGCACGGCGAGCACGAGGCACACGCATGTGAGCAGTCCGGCAACCTTGACCCTGCTACTTCAACTGTCTCCACCCCTTTTCTCCCCATCGCCGCCTCTTCTACCGCCATCTTGCGGTGGTGGACATGACCTGCACACAAGTAGGTTAGTTCATGGCGGAAGGAAGGAAGAAAAGCATTGAAGACATGAAATGGGTGTTGAAGGTATGAGTGATTACGTGAGTTTTGGTGAGAAATGCGTTGTGAGGAAATGGGTGTTGGGAAAAGTAAGAAAGCAATGAAGATAATAGAAAACCAAGTCGAACCCTTCATGGTTTTGGAGTAGTAGTTCAAGAAAAGAGGTTACTTTTTAAGAGGCCTCCTTCTCCCGAGCTGTCAAATCCCCTTAATCGAGGCTCGACTTCTTCTACGGAGCCCTCTAACAAACTACACTATTTGTTCGATACTCGAGTCACTTTTGACTACACTTTCAAGACCCACAACTTTTTGTTCCACACTTAAGGATTCTATTGGCTTGACATGACTCTAATACCATGTTAGAAACTACGAACCTCCACAACGGAACTATATTGTCTACTTAGACTATAAGCCCTCATGGTTTTACTTTTGGTTTTCCCAAATAACTTTGATGTCAAAACATCGTTAAACATGGAGAGCCATCAGTGCCTCTATTGAATGCAAGAACAAAAGCGGGAGAAATTATTAGATGAGTCCGCTACAAACCCGAGCACTCAATTTGAAGTGTTTAGAAAAGAGGGGAATCAATAAATTTGTATCCTCAGTCTAATGTGAATGCCATTAATATTGTTACGAAAGCTTATGGATCTTTGTCATAGGCTGCGCCATGGACCATCTCTGTGTGTATACTCTGTTTTTTTCTTTTCCAATGTATTTGTACTGCCGTGGCTATGGTACCCCATGAACAATTAAACAGGAATTATTGTGGCAGACAACTGAACATTGAATTCTATTATATTTTTAAGGTTTCACCAACGTGGTACCCTTGAGACAGCCACATGTTTTTCTTAAGGTTTCATTAATGGCGTTGTGGAGACTCTCTGTCTGTCTCACACGACACCCATAACTCTGTTTTATTTAAAAATAGACATGGAACAGAGAAGCCAACGAAAACATACATCAAAAACCTCAATGGTTTGTGTTCCATTCATTAATGTCCACAAACACATAACAGTCCCCTAAAACAGAGCAATGGGAACCCAAAAGAACCAAAACCCTTCAATCATCTTCTCTCAATTTGTGACCTTAGCTCCAAATTTGGGCAATTTGGGCTAAGGCAAAAGAGACAAACACGAAAAACACAACAAGCAAACTATTTGTTTAACGAGCAATGCCCATCAAACAGTCATGGATACCGCACCAAAACCCAAATATGTTATGCTCTCCGACAACCACCAAGGCAGCCTCCGTCCTCCGCCCTACCGCCGTCACGTCCCGAGATACCATTCCAAGGCACAAGGCGGAGGCGGCGGCTGCGCTGGTTGTTGTTTGAAATGCATTTGTTGCTGTTACTGTTTCCTCTTATTCCTCATCTTTTCTCTGTTCGGCCTCGCCTATGTCCTCTTCTCATATTACAATCCCCAAATTCCTTCTTACGAAGTCTCTAGTTTCAATGTCCGTGTCTTCGACGTTAAGCCCGATTTCAGCCTCTACACCGAATTCATCGTCATCGTCACCGCCGACAACCCAAATCAAAACATCGACTTTGTCTACGGCAAAGGCAGCTATGTCTCTGTTCTCTACAATCAATCGGTGCTCTGCACCGGAGATATCCCCAATTTCCGACAGCCCTCCAAGAATGTCACCGACATAAGCATTTCCTTAACTGGGAATAGCGAATTTGGATCTGGGCTTCAAGAGGCGCTGATGCAGAACCGACACAGCGGCAGAATTCCTTTGCTGGTCGTGGTGAAAGTGCCGGTCACCATCGTTATTGGAAGGTTGTCGTTGAAGAAGGTTAATGTGTTCGTTAATTGTTCGTTGATCGTTGATAATTTGTCCCCCGACAAGAAGGTTGGGATTTTGTCGAGTAATTATACTTACGGTGCTGCCTTGTAAACTGTAAAGCACTGGGCATCATTTTACCCTTTCATTGCTCTCATCATTCTTAAATCTTTTTTCTATGTAAATACATTGTGTTTTTCACTTTCTTGTGATAGATGGGTGGAAAATAGGTAATTAAGAAGCACCCCTTTTTTTTTTTTTTTTTTTTTTTTTTTT